AATGGACTTTTTTCTAGTATATTGTGCAGAATACAGTAAAAACAAATTTTACACTTGCTGGCATCAGTTGGTTTGTATAAAAACTAAAATAGATTTTTCTTCAGTACTCCATTTATGTAGCTCCACAAGCAGAAGCATCGAACTAATTTACCAAAAATATTGTCAGTTTAGTCTAAGCTCGGAGCTTCTTTTCCCGTTTCAATGAGTGACATTGTACTTCTTTTGGATTGGTGGACACAGGAAAGCATTTTGTTAAGTTGCATTTAAACTTTATTTTTTGGAAGAATTTTGGCAAATAATTGTTCTGAAAAAAAGTTCAAAGATATGAAAAATAGGTCTCAGAATTTTAAAATGTTCACAAATTTTTTTAAAACTCGAAGATTTGATTTTTTTTTGCAGATTTAGAACATTTGCCAATTTTATAAAATGTTCACAAAATTTAAATATGTTAGCGAATTTGAAGACAAGCTCACTAATCTCCAAAGGTTCACAAAATGAAAACAATTCATTATTTGAAAATGAATAAAAGAAGAGAAAATAGAAAGAAATACCTAACAAGGAAAAAGAGAGAAGGAAAAATAAAAACAAAAGAAAATAAAAGGTAAAACGAAAAAGCAATGGAAAAAAAGAAAAAAAACATGAAAACCAATCAAAACCGAACAGAAAAAGTAGTGAAAAATAAACCATAGATAACCCAGCCCAAAAAACCGGCAGGAGGACAGATATTGGGCCACAGCGCACTTAGATGGCAACAGGGTGTGTGCGCCCTGTACCATTTTGCACGTGGGACTTCAATGGGATCTCCTATTTGACGCATTCTGCGCCAAATTGTCGACGAACCGCACATATTCGATCAACACGGGCCGGATCTTTTTTTTCGATGGAACACTCATATTCCATTTATAGCACGGCGAGGTCGCCGGTTACAGCACGGGTTACAAAATTGGGATAGTTCTCAAACCACTAGTCACTAGTCCCAGTAGCTAGACCCGTACCGAACGAAGCCAGCACATGCGTTGGTTTGTTACATTCACGTGGTGTATGTACCACACTAGCCTGGATGAACTGAGTCAGGAGCTTGGCCTTTAGATCTCTGAATACTTGTCCCAGCGGCGCTAGATCAAAGTCCCCAGTTGAGGGAGTCCTGTATTAGGGGGTGTTCGGATAGCCGAACTATACCTTCAGCCGGACTCCTGGACTATGAAGATACAAGATTAAAGACTCCGTCCCGTGTCCGGAAGGGACTTTCCTTGGCGTGGAAGGCAAGCTTGGCGATACGGATATTCAGATCTCCTACCATTGTAACCGACTCTATGTAACCCTAACCCTCTCTGGTGTCTATATAAACCGGAGGGCTTTAGTCCGTAGGACAACATACACATCAACAATCATACCATAGGCTAGCTTCTAGGGTTTAGCCTCTCTGATCTCGTGGTAGATCTACTCTTGTACTACCCATATCATCAATATTAATCAAGCAGGACGTAGGGTTTTACCTCCATCGAGAGGGCCCGAACCTGGGTAAAACTTCGTGTCCCTTGCCTCCTGTTACCATCTGGCCTAGACGCACAGTTTGGGACCCCCTACCCGAGATCCGCCGGTTTTGACACCGACATTGGTGCTTTCATTGAGAGTTCCTCTGTGTCGTCGCCGTCAGGCCCGATGGCTCCTACGATCATCAATGGCGATGCAGTCCAGGGTGAGAACTTCCTCCCCGGATAGATCTTCGTCTTTGGCGGCTTCGCACTGCGGGCCAATTCACTTGGCCATCTAGAGCAGATCGAAAGCTACGCCCCTGGCCGTTAGGTCAGATTCGGAAGTTTAAACTACACGGCTGACATCCGCGGGGACTTGATCTTCGATGGATTCGAACCACTGCCGAGCGCGCCGCACTGTCATGACGAGCATGATCTAACTCTGCCGCCGAACGGTGCCCTGGAGGCCGCACCCGCACCGGCTCCGACCCTTAGTTCGGAGTCAACTGCGCCGATCGAGGATGGGCGGTTGGACGCCACCTCGGGGGCTGCGATCCAAACGGCGATTGAGCCGAACACCAGCCCCGTACTCTGCGAGGCTCGTGACTCCAAGGAGCCGGACGCCTCTCCGGACTCCGAACCCTCCGCGCCCCTGCCAGTCGAATCCGATTGGGCGCCGATCATGGAGTTCACTGCCGCAGACATCTTTCAGCACTCGCCTTTCGGTGATATCCTGAAGTCACTGAAGTCTCTCTCTTTATTAGGAGAGCCCTGGTTGGATTACGGTCAGCAAGGTTGGGGTACGGACGATGAAGAAATTCAAAACCCACCCACCATCCACTTTGTAGCCACTGTCGACGACTTAACCGACATGCTCGACTTCGACTCCGAAGACATCGATGGTATGGACGCCGATGAAGGAGATGATGAAGAACCAGCGCCTACTAGGCCCTGGAAAGCCACCTCGTCATATGACATATATATGGTGGACACCCCAAAAGAGGGAGAGCGCGATGGAACAGCGGAGGATGACCCCTCCAAGAAACTGTTGGGGATCGTAGCAGAAATTAAAAAATTTCTACGCATCACCAAGATCAATCTATGGAGTATTCTAGCAACGAGGGGAATAGGAGTGCATCTACATACCCTTGTAGATCGCGAGCGGAAGCGTTCAAGTGAACAGGGATGATGGAGTCGTACTCGCCGTCATCCAAATCACCGATGACCAAGTGCCGAACGGACAGCACCTCCGCGTTCAACACACGTACGGTTGGGAAGACGTCTCCTCCTTCTTGATCCAGCAAGGGGGAAGGAGA